ATATTTATATATATATATATATATATTGATGCAAAATAAGTTTATTCTTATCAAATTATTATTACTAAAATATTTTCTTATGATATATGCTAACAACAAACACGACGATAGGTGTCTGATGACAAATTTTCATATCTGAAGAATAATGCACGTAAAGACAAGAGTAGGATTTCGGAAGAAATCTGAAATGTTCGCTAACAGAAAATGGATTGGGGGCGCAGGGCATTTTTGTTTTAAATGTTTGTTAATTTTTTGCTTAAATTTTGAAAAACAAAATCTCTCTGACAAATTGTTTCGCTTAAAATTCTTTGCTTTCTCTCATTGACTAACAAATCTAATGGTGGATACAATCTGAATTTGCAGGTAACTGAGTTCACATGTGGTGGTTTCGTCATCGGTCTCTTCTCAGTCCACACAATGGCCGACGGCCTCGGAGTTGCTCAGTTCCTACACGCCATTGGAGAGGTAGCCCGCGGGCTGCCAAAACTCACCCTTAACCCCATATGGGGGCGGGATCTTCTTCCCAACCCAACCAATCTCCGGCACTCCGGCCCTCCTCCTGTCATCGACAACGACAAGCTTGAATGCACAACCATAGATTTCTCAGCCGACAGCATCCTAAAGCTGAAAACAGACTTCTTCCATTCGACTGGGAAACACTGCTCCACCTTTGACGCCTCCGTTGCCAAGGTATGGCAATCTCGAACCCGTGCTATTGGGTTCGAGCTCGATGAGCCAGTTCACATCTGCTTCTTTGCCAACATTCGCCACCTTCTCTCCAAAATTGTGCCACCAGAGGGAGGATACTACGGCAACTGCTTCTACCCTATAACAGTCTCCTCCACGGCAGGAATAGTGTCGGAGTCAAACCTTGTGGACGTTGTGAGAATCGTAAAGGATGCAAAGAACGACCTCCCAAAGGCGTTTGCAAAATGGGCCATTGGGGACTTTAAGGAGGATCCTTTTCAACTAACCTTCAGGTACAATTCTCTGTTCGTGTCGGACTGGACAAGGTTGGGTTTTAGGGAGGTGGATTATGGGTGGGGAAAGCCGGTGAATGTCATTCCATTTCCATACTATGAGTTCATGGCGATGGCGGTCATTGGAACTCTACCGGTGCCGAAGCAGGGAGCAAGGATCATGACGCAGTGTGTTGAAAAAAAGCACTTTGACACATTTCAGCACGAGATGGGGAAATTTAATTGAAAGAGTTAACGGTGCTAACACACTGAAGTGAAAGTCAGAATTGCAGTACTGGTTGCAATTGCACGATTAGGACTTGTTCTATTATGTTTTTTTTTTTTTTTTTTCTTTTTTCCTTTTTGGTGTTTTTTCTGTTTGTTAACCCTTAGTGATTGCCCAAGTATTGTTTTATGTGTGGAAACACGTTGTAATTAAGTGACAAAATGCTATGTTTTTCTTTGAAGGCCAATTCAGTTACCTTTGATGGTGTGCAACAGAAGAAAAAACAAACTATTTTTAGCGGATAATTTCATTGGATACATTATGCTACAAATAACTCACAAACTTGTTTTTTGACGAAAGGAGCAGTGAAGAAATAATAATAATAATCGAAAATATCAAACTTATGGAGGTGTAGAAAGTTCAGATTGGCTAAAAGGTTTCCTTTTTGGTCTCACACTTGGAAATATATGGAGAAGAAGAAAAAAAATGTATAAATCGTTGTTTGAGTTCAATGCAATAAGAAACAAATGAGTTCATTGAAAGAAAAAAAAAATTATGAAATTGTTCTAATCTGACACAATATTTTATACACAGACAAAGAAAAATCTTATCTTCTTGTGTGTGAATTATTGTAGTAATGAAATATTATATTTATGCAACTATGATGTTGTAATTATAACTTTCTGATTGGAGTAATCTTTGTGGAATTTTCCCAAGCTGGTTTTTGGCTTTAATTGCTCAAGACATACACATGACTCGAGACACATTTAGCAAAATCTTAAATTATTTTTTAGAAAAGTTTTCTTAACAACATCTATGAGACATAGTTGATCCCCACTTGATTAAGTTCCATGCAAAAAATGAGAAAAATTTGCACAAAAATCAAGTTAGTTGCCATATCTGAATCACAAAGGTAGTATTCTCATTAATCTTGGAAAAACACCAAAGAACTTTGAACCACTCTTTCTTCTGATTTGTTTTCTACAGAGTCTGATTGAATTAGGATCTCCCTTAATTATTTTTTTTTATCTCGCTGAACTAGGTTGGAGTTGTTAGTAAACTATAGCTTTTGATGTTTCGAATCGATTTCTTAAGATGTTTCTTTGTGGAAACGATATGTGGCACTTCATTAAAATCGATTACTATTTGGACACATATACTTGCATGAAGTGACATCTCGCTTTATGGTGATTTTGCAGTCATATTAAGGTTTTGGCGTCGTTGCCAAGGAAACTGCGCGAAGTAAAAATGTTAAAACATAGTAGAATTGTAGTTTAACAACTATAAATCTAGGTTTAGTATTTTTTTTAAATTTGTTTTCTTTGTCTAAAGTTTTTTTATCTCTTTTCATTTCATTATTCAAGAGCACACTTATATTGTGTTGTATTCTTCTTTGCAAGTGCTAAAAAAAATCAAAATGCTAAATAAGCCAAAAAAAATACTATTGTTAATTTTTTTTTTATGTTGTTGTATTTGTTAGAGTCCTTGCATGTTCATTGTGACTAGTGTTGAACCGAACCTTGTGACCTTGTGAGTGTGTTGTTTAGAGTCAATTGTTGTATCTTTTGTGTCATTTTCTTTGGGTATATGATCACTAGTGTATGAGTTTCACATTCAATTTTCTTCTAGTGTATGCGTAGAGGTGCACCGACTGAATTAAAACCTATTGACCCTGAAATTGAGCAAACTTTTTAACGTCGTAGGAAAGCGCTCATTGAAACTGAAATACTTGTAGGAATGGTTTAACATCTAGACCCAACCATGAGCCCTCTTAGAGACATTACTAACCCTGATACTGAGGAGATTCACATGAGTATCAATTACCCTGCATTAGATGCAAATACCTTTGAACTAAGACCTGTCATGATTCAAATGGTTTAGTAAATCCAATTTTGGGTGCCCACTGAAGACCCAAATCTGTACTTAGCAAACTTCCTAGAATTTTTTGCCACATTTAGATACAACAATGTCTCCAGTGCACCATTAGACTAAGGCTTTTCCCTTTTCTCTTAAGGATAGAGCCAAAGTGTGGCTGAACGCTTTAGCCCCAGGATCTATCACCCCTTAGAATGATTTAACTATCAAAATTCATAGTCAAGTATTTCACTCCTTCCAAGACTACCAAACTTAGGAATGACATCACATCTTTCTTACAATTCAAGGGGGAAACCATTTATGAGGCTTGTGAGAGATTCGAAGAGTTTTTTAAGAAGTGCTTTACCATGCCTTACCCAAATGGTTAATTATTCAAACCTTCTATAGTATACTTATATGTTGCCTCAGGTTCCTTATAGATGCTGCGATAGGAGGTTCACTGATATCCAAATCTTATGATTTGGCATACGATTTGATTGAGGAGATGTCCACCAATAGTTTTCAATGGCCCACCGAGAGTGTGCAACCGAAAAAGCTATCTAGTATGCATGAATCTAATGTCCCAATATCTTAGCTAACCAAGTGGTTGTGAAGTCCAAAAAATTGGATAATCTCATTGTGAATGTAGTGCAAGTCCCACCCCATGTAGAGGAGTTTTGTGATGAGACTCTGATAGAGCCTACCACGTCAACCTTATAAGCTTTGAAAGCCATAGAAAACTTGAACCAGGCCAATAACCCATACTCAAATACCAACATTCATGGATGGAAACAACACCCCAACCTTTAATGGAACAATAATAGCCAAGCCTATCAAGGTGGCAGAGCACATAACCAAGTAGTCCAAGAAAAAAACCCAACCCCATGGATTTAACATAAATCAGAACCACTAGCTAGTCACTTTGGAGGAGTTGGTGAGACAATTACATTTGATAATACAAAGTCAATGGCTAGCAATAAAAAATATTGAGGGATAATTGGGGAAATTAGTAAATTATTTCAATCATAGGAACCCAGAAGCACTCTCTAGTAACACTGAAGTGAACCCTAATAAGAAAGGGAATGAGCAATTCCATGTAATTAAACTAAGAAGTGGGAAGGAGTTAGACAAAACTCTATAAGTTATGAATGACCCCATAGATGTGTAATCTGAATTCAAAAAGAAGGAAGAATGTTATGCTAAGGAAATTAAAAAACACAAAACATCAAAAAAAGAAAAAACCCGAGAGACATCCACCCTCATTCCCTCAGAGATTTTAAAAACAAAAATTAGATAAGCAATTTTCTAGATTTCTATAAGTCTTCAAAATGTTAACTATAAAAAACCCTTTTGTTGAAACCCAGTAATAGATGAGTAGCTATGTCAAATTCATGAAGGATGTACTGAATTAAAAAAAGAAATTAAGAATGGAAAGACAGTGGCACTAACCGTAGAGTGTAGTGCAATCTTGCAAAAGAAGTTACCAAAAAAGATGAAAGACCACAGTAGTTTCACTGTCCCTTACGCCATATGAGAGATATTTGTTAGGAAGGTCCTTTGTGATTTAGAAGCTAGCATTAATTTGGTGTCAATGTCAATTTTCAAAAGACTTGAACTACAGGAGGCTACACCCCCCAACTTGACCCTAAAATTAGCTGATAAATCCTTAGACATTCCCATGGTCATCATTAAGGATGTGTTAGTTAATGTGCAAGCTTCATATTCCTTGCTGACTTTGTAGTCTTGGACATTGAGTAGGACAAGGAGATGCCCCTAATTTTAGGAAGACTCATTTTAGCCACTGGTAGGGCAATGATCAATGTACAACAAGGGAAATTGACCATGAGGGTGAATGATGAGGAAGTAACTTTTAATATCATAAAGTATATGAAATATCTCCAAGATCTAAGTGATGATCCTTACTTTAAGGCTGACTTAGTGAATGGGGTGGTGACTAGCCAATTTCTGAAACTTTGGAAGATAACCCAGCTGAGCAAGAGGTGATTAAGGAGGATAGTGACACATATAATGTTGAATCTGCTCTGATTTTAGAGGGCAACACTAGAAGATTTATGGAGAGCTCTGAACCCTTGGACATGACTTTGCACACTAAAACCCTAGCACCATCTATAAAGGTAGCCCCATATCTAGAACTGAAAGCCTTGCCCACTCACATGAAGTATGCCTACTTCGGAAAGCCTTTGAACTTAACTGTTATCATATATGTTGACTTGACTATGGAGCAAGAGGAAGAGCTCATAGGCGTGCTTAGAGCTTTTAGGAGGGCACTTGGGTGGACCATAGCTGGCATCAAAGGAACAAGCTCATCCTTGTGTGTGCTTATAATTCTAATGGAAGAGGGATAAATGCCTAAAGCTAACCCTCAGAGGAGACTAAACCCCATTCTTAAGAAGGAGGTAAGCAAAGAGATTCTTAAGCGGCTTGATGGAAGCATTATCAATCCCATCTTAGATATTGCCTAAGTCAGTCCAATCCATTGTGTACCAAAGAAAGGGGGTCACAGTTGTGGAAAATGAAAATAATGAATTGATTCCCACAAGAACCATTACTAGATGGAGGATTTTCATTAACTATATTAAGTTGAATGCTGCCACTAGGAAAGACCATTTTACTTTGCTTTTTCTAGACCGGATGTTGGATAGGTTAGCAAGGCATTTTTTTTACTGCTCCATAGATGGATATTCAAGATATAACCAAATCACAATAGTCCCTAAGAACTAGGAAAAGAGCACCTTAACCAGCCCTTATGAAACTTTTGCTTTAGGAGAGCATCGTTTGGACTATGCAATGCATAACCACTTTTCAACGTTGCATGATGTCCATCTTTCTTGACATGATTGAGACTGACATAGAGGTCTTTCTAGATGACTTTTCTAATTTTGGCTCTTTATTTGATTACTCCCTAAGTAATCTTCAAAAAATTTTACAAATGTGTGAGTGTTGACCTCATTTTTGATGAGGTCCAAATTTTTTTCTTAGGGTTTAGCATCTAGCCATAGAACTTTCCTATTAACTATCCTAGAATAACAGTAATCTTAAAAACTCAAAACACTTCTTGACTCTTTTGTAAAGTTTTACATGAGTGGTCTCAAGTCCTCAACTCATGGTTAAGATGACTAAGACCAACTTATTGAAGCTCAAAAATGAGTTATTATAGGGTTATGAGGCCCTAGGGAGACCCTGAGTGGCTAGACCATTCATACCCCCATACCTCACCTTATGCACACCACTACATATCAAATTCACACCCACTTAATATTGAACACACATTCACACCACTGTACACTTCACTACACTCACACTACCTCATACCACCTTACACACCCACTTGGACCATCACACACACTCCTTTCACCTTATACACCCATACACTTCCAATTACCCCAAACCCACTA